CCTCTGTTAATGTAACAAGCAACGTGCAACCTGTCATGGCCAAATGCGGACAATCAAAAAATCTAAAGTTTCCAAACACGACACCAAGTTATCTCATACTCTTACTTCCTCTTTTCAGAAATGGTTGGTGGCAACTTATCTGATCCTAATTGCTGGTGTATCGTTTCAGGCCCATAATTACTCTAGCGACTTGAGCTTTCTTGGTGGGGCCAAGTAGTACCAGAAGACACGTCGTTTGTTACCTGGTGCAATAGCTTATCTCAGTATGATCAAATTATTCAGCTTAGTGCTCCAAGTAGGTTGTGAATAATAACAGTCCCCCAGCCACCAGACTGTTCCACTTTTACCCGATATTCTAACCCCGAAATACATGATTCCATCTCAAATGTGTGTGTGTTCTGTTCACCACTTATCACAATCCTTCCTTAAGTTTTCTGTTTACCTCACTCTTCAAGATGACACGTTTTTATTCAGATCCACTCACCTGAAACCGAGATTCATTGTTTCAAGAGTTGCAGACAGTTTGCGGAGATCCGGTAGTTTGCCATAGGCTGCGTTGGGATAGATAGGCATTGTTGCGGTGTGATCTAACTCGTTATTCGAAATCGTTCAAGAGATGATGTCCAGCTAGTGACTGATTTTGATCAATAAGAGGTTTTAGGTATTAAGACAACAATTATGGTATGAATATCGCGCATTGTTTTGCATTGTTCCAGTAATCCGCAGTTTCGTACGATTCCTTTGCAATTGTAGATAATCTCAGTTTTTTGGTCCATTATATGACAGCAATCGTTAATCTGAACGGAAGTTCAGAATCCCAATATCGTTATCCAAAACAAGAGCGAAACTAGGGCGCCCTCTCGATTTTGGTGCTATCTGTCTTCCATACCTGTTGAAGCCGATTATGCAAATGTTGAATAAGTCTGCCGTGGTGTGATGACTTGTGTGCCTCCGTGAGCCTGTGAGCTACACAGGATGACTTTTCACAGTCGTAGATTCAATCATGCCTGAAAGGTCAACAGGTAGAGGCCAGACGAAGACCAGTCTCATAAAGCCAACTGCTTGGGTACTTCCTGGCTTCCTTTTCTATCCACACCCGCCCCTGGAGAGGTCACTCCAGCAAATAAACACGGTGAGGGGCAGTTTACCTGTCGAAAAGCCCCCGCTAGATGGACGTAGGAGCGGGGTACTTGGGGCTTCCTCTCGACGGTGGGAGAAGTTTTCACACTTCATTGGACAGCTACCGCCCACCCAAGCTGGACAGCCCTCAACCA